TCCATAATTTTCTGTTTTTTTTCTACATTCAAATTGCAAATACGCAGGGTGAATTCTTAGTACATTAGAAATCTTATACGGATATTTGAATCGCCTGCAGTTCACTTTCTGCGTCCACATCAAGCACCTCTACATGCCACAAAACAACACGATCCTCAGTTACTTCGCTGACGGTCAGGACAATGAATTCTGCATCTTCACCAGTAAGGAAAAAAGAACTTTACTAATGACAATTGATACGCAGAGAGCATACAAATATAGAGAAATAAAAATATTGTTATATAACAAATATACATACATATAATCATTCACGCCCACACACACACACATATAAACCGGCACTCTGTCACACACACACACACATATAAACCGGCACTCTCTCACACACACACATATAAACCGGCACTCATATGTATATATATACATATACATATATATACACATACACACGCATAAACACATACACACACACACATATATATATACACACGCATACACACACACATAAACACACACACACACACACACACACACACACACACACACACACACACACACAACACACACACACACACACACACACACACACACACACACACACACATATATATAATATATATATATATATATATATATATTATATATATATATATATATAATATATATAAGTATATGTGTGTGTGTTTGAGTGTGTTACCTCTATAATTCGTATATGTGTGTACTTTAAGAATTTTATGGGTCATATGATTTTAAATAAAGTAATTTTAAACCAAATAAGGATTCACATCGGTTTCACCATTTTGTTTCCCCTTTACATTCCAGATACCCTGGACACTAACACCCTTCAATTCTTTTGCTGCGAAGATCGAGTGAGGAATTACTTGTACTACCCCGCCAAGCTGTACACATGGCAGCATATCTGCATCTCTGTTGACCTTATACAGAAAAGAATCTTTCTTGTAGTGAACGGCGATGTAGGTTGTAGTACTGCCTGGATTTACTGCTACGCTCATATAAAGAAATAAAATAATAATACCATTGTCATTACTGATAAATATATTTTATCATGTGTTAATGTCTTCAGTATCGTCTCTACGACAATGTCAAGTACAAAATTCTGTTATTATTACATGTTAATTTAATGTTTATTATTATTATTATTATTATCGTGTTACTTCTAAAAATGCAACAGTAAAACGGATGATAACAAATTTAGCTGGAACATTTAAATGATTTTGGCCAAAATTGGTGAAAGTAAGCTAACATTAAAGCTGAAAATGGAATCATTAATAACATTGATGCACTACAACTAGTGATATTGATGATCATAGGAACCAAGATTATACTGATAATGATGATAACAATCAGTCTGATAAAAATAAGAATAGTAATGATGAAATAAACAATTACTATTGTTATTGCTGTTTATCGGCTCCAATGAAATTTACAATTAGCACTGAAGATAATAGAGTTGAAAGTTTTTGTTATCCTCATTATCACCATCATCATCACCACCATAATTATTATTGTTTGTAACTCAAATAGCGCTTATATTAAACTGATAATATATTTACACAATCGCTAAAAATAACTACATTATGAACATAGCTGCAGCAAATTCCTGACGATGATAATGATAATTAAGATGGTTTGAATGCGATATCCATTGCTAACGATAAAAGCAACTTAAAACTTACCATAACCATACATGAGCTCCGAATAAAGTTTTACAGAAAACAAATTTTTCCCTTCTAGTTTCGAGAGTATCCACTACGCGAGACTAAAACTGGCCACAACAAGCCACTATTTATCCGAGGTGGAGGACGGCTGGTGATTGGACAGGAACTGGACTCTCCTGAGGGAGGGTTCAACATCGAGCAGATTCTCCCTAGTGAAATTGCAGACGTCGTCTTGTATGATGTCGTTCTCTCCAGGGAGGAGATCAGCAGCTTCATGACTTGCAGGAAGAACATCCCTTATGATCCAATCATCTATGCAGATCTGAACATGACGGTCTTGGAAGTAGTCGGGGAAACGTCATTATCTATGATACCCGAAGAACGGCTTTGTGCTGAATCGCCTGGATATAAGCAGCTCTTCCCAGAACGAGTAACTTTCTGGGAGAATATCGACTGGTGCAGAATGCTCAAGGGCACAGTCGTCCTACCGGATAGCGAGGAAACTAATAAGGAAATCTATGATAAATTTTATCGATTTAGAGAAGTATGTGTCGATAGATGGCGTACCTTCTACTACTTCGGTACTCTGAGAAATCTCACATCTGACCAGTGGTTAACACTTGAAGATAACATCCCCATAAAGTATGACAATCATGATCTTAAATGGAACAACATTGTGACATATAGGTGCGCAGGGGCCGGTAACCAAAATTTTAAGTACATATGGTTTGCCATCCCATGCACCAGTGCAATGTGCTCAGCTTGCAACTTTACGACGTCGCCGCGTTTGCGTCTTCGTGGTCTTTGTAGGGAATCACTAATTGATCGGTCCTTTTTCTTGCACGATTACTTCAATGATCGTCCAGTCTTCGATGGAGAGGTGAAGAATCGAATATTTTGGAACAACAACACTTGGCAGATCAGAAGTCGTCATCATGCATCGCTTTCAGGTCTAATGGAAATTACTAGTCCTAAGGAGTACCCACTAGGACGCCATATATGGGTTATCACTGGGGATAAGTGCAGTGAAACTAAGGTAAGTCTCCTCTGCTCGACATAAAATGCCGTTCGTATGAATTCAGCTTTGATTTCTTTGTAAGTAGTTTCTTTTCTCTAACAACGATCAATATACAGCTTGAGTTGCAACTCACGTCCTGTGGCGACGGCGAATACACCTGCAACAGTGGTGCTTGTATCAAGAAAGACCGCCGCTGTGATCTCGTCACAGACTGCCCCGACCTCAGTGATGAGCTGGACTGCGATGTGGTCAATGTGCCCGAAGGTTACTCGTCCGCCCTTCCTCCTCCCAAGATTTCTTCGGGGCCTCTTTCTCTCTTCTTTTCTATCCGCATCATCTCTATCAGGGAGTTTAACCTGGTGGCATTCACGCTGGTGGTGGACGCCGTCGTCACCGTCAAGTGGCACGACTCCAGGCTGATCTTCAGGAATCTGCGAGATGACTACCACGCCAACAAAGTCAAGGACTTCAGTCAGCTTTGGACGCCTGAGATCTTCATCAGGGACGGGTCGAGGAGCTCCGCCGACGAGACGCTTCGTTCCAAAGACGTCTATGTGATGCTTCAAGGGGAAGCTTTGCCGGATGATGATGCCTTAACTGGAGAAGGTACATTAATTTTTATATTTTTAACATATATTATATATATTATATATATATATATATATATATATTATACATATACATACATACATATATATATATATATATATATATATATATATATATATATATAATATATATACATATATATATATATATATATATATATATATATATATATATATATATTATATATATATATATATACATATATATATATATATATATATATATATATATATATATAATATATATATATATATATATATATATATATATATATATATATATATATATTATATATATATATATATATATATATATATATATATATATATATATATATATATATATATATATATATATATATATATATGATATATATATATATATTATATATATATATATATATATATATATATATATAATATACATATATACATATACATATATATATATATATATTATATAATATATATATATATATATATATATATATATATATATATAAGAGAGAGAGAGAGAAAGATGTGTGCGTGTGTGTGTGTGTGTCTGAGGAACAAGGATTACCTTCCCACGTCCCCAACGCTAGAGACTCCCGACCCAGTATTGAAAGCTACAGCGCACTTGACTCAGGGCAGCGCCCTGACCCGGTCGCCCCCACACGCGAGTTACCGCTCGGCGCGCCCTTGGGCTCCCCTTTGCACGAAACTGGACAGCACGACGCCGCGCTACCACCTCTTCAGAATAATCAGCCGAACCAGAATTGTGTCTTCATAACCCACCAAGGTCAGGGGAAACAAAACCCTGACAGTGTGTGTGCGCACACATATATATGTATATATACATATGCATGTATATATATACATACATATGTATGTATATATATACATACACACACACACACACACACACACATATATATATATATATATATATATATATATATATATATATATATATATGTGTGTGTGTGTGTGTGTCTCCATAACCCACTAAGGTCAGGGGAAAACATTGGTGCGCGCGTGTGTGTGTACGTTCGTGCATGTGTATTTGTGCACACACTCATATATATGTATATATACGTATATACACATATGTACATATATTTATTATATATATATATATAATATATTACATATATATATATTATATATATATATATATATATATATATATATATATATATATATATATATATAATATATATATATATATATATATATATATATATATATATATATATATATATATATATATATATATATATATATATATATATATATATATATATATATATATATATATATATATATATATATATATTATATATATATATATATATGCATATATATATATATATATATATATATATATATATATATATATATATATATATATATATATATATATATATATATATATATATATATATATATATATATATATATATATATATATATATGTATATATATATATATATATATATATATATATATATATATATATATATATATATATATATATATATATAATATATATATATATATATATATATAATTATGTATATATATTTATATACATATATGTATATGCACATCAACATGCACAACACATGCACATCAAAACAAGAGTGTGTTGGTGTGCGTACGAGTGAACTAATAAATGAACGGTCGGTTTTTCCAGATGACACGTACAGCGGAATGAACAATACCCTCGTTATGGAGACGGAACAGACACTGAAGTTTACGTGTCAGTTCGAGCTGCAGATGTATCCAGTTGACCGTCAAGACTGTTTTCTGCTCTTCACTATCCCTGACCTTAATAACGAGTTCGGTGTGCTGCAGAAGGTGATATACGTTACTTACACTTTCTGAATACATACATAAAAATAATAAATATGATAGTAAATAAACCTTCACCCAAATGTGACCCACATAGAGTATATCGCTGTCCTAGCAACATACTCTTTAACAGGATTCTGCTGGAGTCATGTTCGAAGGATCGCGACGCCTCCTAGAGTACGAACTAGTGAAAGAAGTGCTCACGGAAGTGGCTGACGATCGAACCAGCTTCATGCAGGTTGGTTAAGACAATTGAAACCTACGCTGTTTTCAAGACTATTTACACGCAAAGCTGACAGTATGACCTATGATACTTCCGACAAACTGTGTTGATCTGACGGCAGAGGTCAAATTTTGATTGACGGATCTCGTTGCAGGTGCGTTTGTCATTCAAGAACCTTTATGGCTACTACGTTGGCAACACCTTTGTCCCGAGCCTGCTTCTCATCGTTATAGCCTACCTCACTCTTTATTTCGATTACTCAGACTTCCAGGTAACTTGACTGAAAATAAAAAGATGTATAAGATTAATGAAAGAGAATGAAAAAAGGTTTGTTTATTTAACTTTCAAATATGTCGCATTAATGGCTGATTTATAATTCTACTGTCTTTGAGTTACTAGTAGACATCAAATAGGTTCCAATAAGTCTAAATTCATTGTAAAGGTATATTAAGAGCTTCCTGCAGTATCATTAGCATCCTGTGAGGAAAAGGTGCGGTATCATTCATTCGTTGTATTATAAGATGTCTTCATAATAATACTTCAGCATTGCATTTGTCGATTACAGGATCGTGTCATGGTGTCTCTGACATCCTTGCTCGTGTTGGCTACATTCTTCACTCAGACCAGTGCTAGCATCCCAAGAACATCTTACCTCAAGCTCATCGATGCCTGGTACGTGGCACTCATCTGCGAGAACTTCCTTGTGATCGTGTCTTTGGTAGTGGTGGAAAACCTTCGTCTTCAAGGCAAGCCTGTTGCGACCAAAGTTATTCCTGTGGGCGAAAAGCTACCCAAACGGCCATCACTAAGCCTCCATGAGAAAATGAATTTCTCTCTAAAGATCATCTTTCCTATCATTCTGTTCATTATTTTAACGGCCTTTTTTTCCTTTTGGAGCAAAGTGTAGTTTGTAATTTTTATGAAACCGCTTATTTACGTTTCTATTTTGATCGAAACTCGTAGCAATGTATGTTCTGAAACTGTATAGTATTTATCTAAATTGATAGAAACATACATGCTTGTATACATTTACACACGTGTATGTGCGTATGCATTTAGTATGTAGATAGATAGATTCATCTAATCATATCTACTTATACCTCTCTCTGCAGTCAAAGACGCGCAGATGCACACGCACCCATTCACAATATGCGTGTATGTATATAGAAACACACACACACACACACACACACACACACACACACACACACACACACACACACACACACACACACATATATATATATATATATATATATATATATATATATATATATATATATATATATATATATGCAAATTAAATATATGAATGTTATAAACAAATCAACAATAGTGTAGTCAGTTGTAGAAAAATTAAACAAGATACTTGCTTCGTTCATCTATTCCCTTTGCCTTGCACAGTTGTCAATTTTCAATCAATTGATTTTTAAACACAGATGAAAGACTGCGAAAACATTTCAAACGTAATTTATGCCCACTCCTTCGAGTGACTTTGGGTGAACACGGTCCAGTGGAAAGCATATGAAGCTACATAAATAATGGGAAGGGATTTAACATAGGAGACAAACAACAAAAAAGCAAAAAAACAAAAACAAAAACACGCTTAGTGATAAAGAAGACAGAACGACACACACACACACACACACACACACACACACACACACACACACACACACACACACACACACACACACACACACACACACACACACACACACACACACACACACACACAGAGAGAGAGAGAGAGAGAGAGAGAGAGAGAAAGAGAAAGAGAGAGAGAGAGAGAGAATGAGAGAGAGATAGAGGGGGGGGGAGAAGGAGAGGGAAAAGGGACAGATCTTACGGACGGGCATGAAGACTATCAGGGAAGTTGTGCAGTAAAATATGAAGGGAAAAAAGGAGTGTGTGTACGAATTACCATTAGATAATCTATTGTCTCCCCCCCCCCTATGACCGCCCTGAAAGACTCATGAACACTGCAAAGAATACTAGTCTCTGGTAAGAGACGATGTGTAATGATTGTGTACTGAGTGTTGTGCCATCTGTTGAGTCTAGAGAACTGAAGGGGTATTACTTTCCCCTCCTTTGGATGAGGCTATATATATATATTTCTCTCGATTTTCACATCTGAAGACTCCATTCACCCTGTTCGTATTTCCCTCCAAGGTCTCATTACCCACAATGCCCTCACGACGACAGGAAGCGACCGCGAGGCGCAAGCCTTTCTTCGTGTATTTCAACTTGTGTAAAATCAACTCTAATTGTGGTATCTATAAGAAATATGTTAATATATATTAATGTAAGGAAACGAAAATCAAAGAAAGTTAAAAATAACTGGCAACTTGTTCCCGTCGGGAATCGAACCCGAGATCTCCTGGTTTGAAGTCAGTCGCGTTAACCACTTCTCCGCAAGAACTTATCGAAGAGAAGAGAAAGCTTCAGTCATTTTCATCCCCTTTCTTTCTCTGTCTGCCTTCCGATCTGGCTGTTCGTCTGTCTGGCTTTGCACCTGTGTCTCCTTCTCTCTCCTTTTCTTTCTCTGTCTTCTTCCTAAAGAACGAATAAGTAATCTGTAGAATAGTAATTTAAAAACAAAATATAATCTGAACTCAATGTAAACCGCTACAGTTCATTATGGATAAGTTTCTGTAAATTCATTATATTGAAATATGCAATGATTTGAGTCGTAGTGAATTATAGATATATGTTAATATTTCTTTTACATGAATGCTATGAACGATGTTTCTGGTTTATAAGATTAAAGATATGACTGGTGAGCTTTATGGAACTAAAGAGAAAGAGAAAGAAGAAAAGAAAGTGTAATCCAAAACAACATTTTATTTATTTTTTCTTTTAAGAGGGACCTGAAGCGGGAACAGATCTCACAAAAGAAAGAAAGAGAAAAAATGTGCTTGATTCTGGCCTTCGGATGTCTTATTAATCACGGCCGCAGTTTCCAGCATTGCCAAAAGCTAAAGCATGAATAAATCTAAAGATATGCTCCAAAAGTTGCTTTTTGACCATATGAATTTATCATTTCTGATCATGATAATTATGACCAAATAGTTATGATAACAATGTAAAAAATAAACTAATAAAGTACTAATAAAGCGACCTGAAGAAAGAAAGAAGAAAAAAAAAACTTGACTGGCATCTGGATGTCTCGTTTACAAAGACAACATCAAGTTCAAAAACAGATGTCACACAAGCTGCCTCCTTTTGAGACTAAATGCGTAAACCTTAGGTCATCTTAGAGAGAGAAAAAAAAGTTTTTTTCTGTAAATTGATCATGTCTAAACATGATAATAATGATCGTAACAGCAATAATAATAATCCTGAGAGTAGATATCAATGACAGTAATGATAAAAAAGTTGTATTAGTAATGCCAATAATAACAGCAAAAATAATAATCATAATAATTGTGTGGTGATGAGAGTAATAATGAACATCATACAAACTAATAATAATTTAATAATGATAATAGCAATAACAATAACAATAGTAATAATGTCAATAATAATCAGAATCATAATAGGAATGATAGCGATAATGATGATAGTGACAATAATGATGATAGAAATAGCAATAACAATTATAATGATGGGACTGATAATAATGATAATAATACTGATGATGAGTGTAATTTGGACCTCGGTCACTTTTATATAAATTTGATAAGTATCTCTGATGTATTTCAAAGGCGTCTTTTCTTTGCTAAGAAACATGATAATTGTGGAAGTAAAGGGATTAGAGAAATATTTCTATACATGTTTCCCAGAGCGCCCTCGGGCGGTGAAGGAAATCGGGAAGAAATGCATCTGAATCTCCCCTTCGATCTCTCATTCATGAAGTACAGCAGTTTCCAGCTTTAATAAAAAGTAAAAAGCGAGACTAAATCAAAAAGGCATAACGTCTTCCTTTGAGCCACTGTATATACCTCAGGTCAAATAAGAAAAGATAATGATAATGAGACAATAGTGGTACGATAACTATATGAGTAATAAAAATAACGATGAATAATAATTGATTATAGGTTAAAAAGGAAGGGAATAATAACATCAACAATTCTATCAGAATTACTTTCCTAATCATGGTATTGATATGAAACGTTAATTAATACTGATGTGAGAAAAGCGAATTACATGTAAATCAAAGAAAGAAAAATTTTACTCCTTGTTCTCGTCGGGAATCGAACCCGGGCTATTCTGATTCAAAGTCAGTCGTGTTAACCACAACACCGCAAGGACTTGTATATAAATGGAGAAAGCAATTTCTATTTATAGGAACCGCCCTTCACTCTTGTTCTCTTTCCTTTTTCTTCTCTCAGCCATTGTCTATTCTTCTGTCTGGATCTGGATTTGTGTACCTACCCTCTACTTTACTTTGTCTGTCTTCTTGCCTAGCTGTCTGCATTTGTCCTTTCTCTCTCGCTCGCTCACACACACACACACACACACACACACACACACACACACACACACACACACACACACACACATACAAAAACACACTCCCTCACTCTCGCCAAAGAACGAATACCAACGTAATAGAATAGCATTTTTCAATGCAAAATGTATATTCTGAACTCAAGGCAAACTGCTGCAGTTCATTTTCAATATTATAGATACATGATATTGAAAAGTTGCCGACAGGGACTGATCATGTCTGATCATGATAATAATGATCACAATAGCAATAATAACAATATCAAGATTAAATATCAATGATAGTAATGGTTGTATTAATAATGCAAATAATAACAGCTGAAATAATCATTATGATAAGAGTACGATAACAATAATTATAATAAAATCGGTAATTATAGATCATGATAGTTATAATGATTTTGAGGAACTATCCTCGGGAATGACCGCTCCTCGGTCGAAACCGATAGTGGCAGAATGGTTAAGGATGTTAAAACTATTCTTATCATTTGCTGTAAGAAAATAATACATAGACATTGCATGAGGATTCTATACTTCTTGCAGTCTTTGACTGCAGTTTCACTGCTCGTTACCCAACAGCCCTTTTAGGGGAATCAAAATCATACTTTTAACATTTTTCCTAAAGGAAATAATGTATATACACGTGTCAAGTGTTCATACTTACATACTTATGCCGTACGTTAACAAATTATTAATTTAGCTTTACACACGAACACGAATGTAATTATCTTTCATTCAACATTCGTATGAAAAAGAATAAAAAATCACTAAATTTACCTTTTGGGGGAAGCCAAAATGGCCTTCGCCACCCCGTAATCCTCGGCGACCTCTCTTCTCTTAATTATTATCACTGCCTCTCCTTCCTGTCCAGTCACCGGTAGTGTCCCGCCCTCCGCCAACAGCCACCTACACCTCGTCAACAATATACACGACTCGAGCGAACCTACGAACCTACACAACTGCTCTTAACCACCACCTTGTAACAAGGTAGCCAGGAATTAAAGCCGTGACACCTTCCCTGCTCGAGTTTCCATATTACATATCTATGTTCTTATTACTTACACATGCATGAAAGGACATGAAATTTCTGAGATACCGATGTGTATATATACAATTGTACAATTGATATAAATATACGTATATTTTCCATGAGAGATATGGCTTGTTTTGACGTCCTACACTGAAATAGGAAGGAATGGAATCTTTAGTGACCTATCATGAGTTACACATGGCTTAAACGCACACACTTAAGTAGAAAAACGTACATAGGCGCAGATAAATACATAGAAGGGGAACGGACTGCAACCAAGGCAACATTTATTTATTTATTTATTTATTTTATCATTATTATTTTTTTGTATTCTCTTCGCACTATGCTTTCTTATTTGTTAACGTCACCTTCCTTTTCTTTTCCCATTTTACTATATCGGAATTTTTCTGTTTTACATAGCAAATTATGACGTTTTTCCCTTTTTTTCGCCTTATTTTATTTTGTTAGCGAATTTTTCTGTATTTATTTCGCAGTGTTAATGACTCTTTCGCACTTTTCTTAATTCGCATTTTTACGCATATCTACTTTTTTCTCATTTAACACGTCTTTGTTTTCATCTGTATTCACTCTTACTTTTGTTAGCGCAGTTTTCTGTATCTTTTTCTATTTTTCTTTCCTTCGAATATTTGTCGCATTTTCTAGTTGAATTTTGTTCTCACTCGTCTTTATTTTCTAAATACTGGGACGTTTTATCTTGATATTTCTTACTCGAATTTTTATCACACTCGTGATGCATATATGCGTTTAATTTCCATAGGAGAGATATGGAATGTTTTTACTTCCTACACTGAAATAGGAAAAAATGGATTTTTTTTGACCTATCATGAGTTGCACATGGCCTACACGCACACACAGTACAAACACATATACACATAAAGATATACAAAAGGGAAAACTGATTACAACCGGCGGGCGTCTTGTATTTTTGTGCCCGGGGCTTTCCATGTCTTTCAGCCCCGGGCGAGGTTGCAACCAGAGGGAGCACTTTTGGCTCCCTTTTGCAGATTCGAACTCGCGATCGCGGGTTTCGAATCTGGCGCCCTTACCCTCTCGACCACGGTGTCGAGGGGCAACAGGAAAGGGTTGGGAGAGGTATTTATGCAACTTGTGTGTTTGTTTGTGTATAATATATCTTGTAATTTTCCTCTTTAGGTTTATCACACCGTTGATCACGGTCAGCAGTTTGATTCGTTACTTGATTGCGGAAAACTACATCTGGCAGACTCAAGATCATATGTATAGCAAAAGAGAAACTAAACTCTTAAACTCATTCAAAAAGGACAGCAGCAGTTTCCAGCTTTGCCAGAAAGGAAAACACATGACACATCGAGAATGAATGTCACATGAGCTGCCTCTGAGACACAATGCGTGAACCTCAGGTCATCCTAGAGGATAAATTATGTTTCATATTTCATCCTGATGGAAATGATCGCAACAGCAATAGCAACTATGTTCAAATGTGATATGAATGGGATGATGATAAATAAAAAGGTTATTTTGTTAGCGAAATCATTAACAGTGCGAAAAAAAAAAGAAATGATTATTATGAGATAAGTGGCGTACAGAGAATGATAAATAACAGTGTCCAATTAACTGTGAAGAGTAATAGGAAGAGAGTGTAGAAAGTGTGAGTTGATTAGATGGAATATGAGAAGGTGTAGGTAGGTGATGAGTAAATTGGAGTGTGAGCTAATGATTTTCATGAAAATAACAA